AGTTCTTGATACAAATATATTTGTTTGGGAAATTTATCATGTCAACTTACTAGAAAATATTCAATTTAAAATTTTTGTTTGTGTAGATACTTGTATTGTTAAATGTTGGAAAAGTAGCCACATTGCTCCATGAGAATATTTTATGCAGGGGGAGGATGGCTAACTAAGAGAGCCAGGCCATAGGACCCAAACTAGTTAGACGCTGTCCCTTTTTTGCAAGGAAAACTGAGATTTCTTTTGATACTGTGTAAGCTAAGGGAAAATTAACAATAGCTAGTCTCTGATATATGACAACCAGAATTGCATAAAAAGGGCAGCCCAAGTAGGCAGGACGAATGTAGCTTGTGTGATTTTTTTTTGTCTGTTGATCTGTTTGTTGACTTTGTTCTTATCTTGTATACAGGTTTTAAAACTGCTAGAGAATGAATCTATTTCATGCACTGAAGCAGACAATGGAAAAACTGTAGTGATTCAAATTGATGAAATCAATCCAAAGACCCTGAGCTTTGCCAAGAAGTAAAAATCTACAATCTCATTCAAAACTTCACTATAATGGTGTGTTTAGGTCTTTCTTGATATGGTACTTATTTTTCTTAACTTAGTTGGAATGTCTATATATATGGGCACTCTGTACCAAATATATAGCAAATTTTCCTTCACTTTGAAAGTTTTCTGTTTTGAACTGAGTTTTGGAGCTGTGGAATCAGCTTATGACCAGATCCAATAACGTTCACAGTAAAAGTAAAGAATAGCCAATATCCTCATTGGATGTCTGAAATTTGGTGTTTTTTTTTTTTTTTTTTTGCATGTTTTATGTGCATCTCATCTTGCTTATCTCTCTTATGTGGGTTAATGATCTGGCCTCCCTAAAAAAATGGGTGATACTGAGAATTCGTAGAACTCATGAACAATCCAACCAAACTTGTGCTGTTGAACTCTTGGCATAATATGTGATTTGTACTCCTTCAGTCCATTATATGGCTTTATGAACAATCCAACATCATATATATGATGATGCGATAGATGCCCCTCACTATTAACATTTGATTTCTCGCATATTTAACTCCCTTCATAGTTATTAGAAACTGTCCAAGCATTTATTGGACAACCAAAGATAGGAGCATAAAATTTAATTATGATATCATTAGACCTATTTCAATTATGTTTTAGCCTTTTATTGTAGCATAAAACACTGTAGACTGTTCAATGAATCAGTTTCATTAAGAACATTCTACTAAAAAAAGTTAAAAGAGGATTGGTCTTTAGCACTATCAGGGTCTTTCTAGGTTAGGCAGACAACTTAACAGCTAAAATGAAAATTAGAACCAAACTAAAAGATATGTACCACCTTACCATTGGAAGAATTATGGACTATCTTCCCAAACCAATAATCTGGCGTAGTGAAGGAAACCTTCAGTTTGCGTCAAATTGCCTCTAGTATAAAGCGGATTGACTCCACAAAGAAAGAATCAAAGAGCCAACAGCAACAGAACCCAAGTTATATCGGACTAGCCTTTTCATTGAGGCAAAAACAGGTAAAAATGGGATTCTCGGCTGCAAAATGCATACAACAGTGTGTCCAAAATAAGTTTATTACAGAATTTTTAGGCTATCAGGAGAAGGAATATCCCATGATGCAATGCAGACAATTTTAAATTTTCATGTAATCCAGTCAGAACTGATTTTTTCTATGCAGTTCATCTCATATAACACACATTACACCAAAAATGTTGTAATAAGGAAATCCATATAGATAAACAACAGCTTGGTGCATCCTCCCTATCTTAGGCAACCAGAAGTTTGAAAACCATCTAACAAAGCAATTGACAAGTCTTTATGCACAGAAGAAGCTCTCTTGTTACCTTTATTCTTCCCAAGGTAGCATAGTATCAATGTATCATCAATAAATTTTTGCAATTTGCACGTTAGAAAGACCATAATATATAACATCAAACCTTTCCTCCCACTCAACTATTAAAACTCATTTCCCTTGATATCCGGAGCATTATTCAATATTCATATAAAATCATCTAATTTCCCTTCACCAAAACAAATATAATAAAAACAAATCTAATTTCCACTGGCTGGGATTTCTTTCTCTCTCTAGAAACCTCTCTCTCCCTCTCCCATAAACCGCCGCTCCCCTTCTTTTCCTGCGGCTATGAGGCTCGCCGGCGGGCGTGTGGCTCACCGCCCATGGCACAGCGTCGGCGAGCCTCCGATCTACCCCTTTAGTTTGTTTCTTTCCTTTTCCGTTATGGTTTCGTTTTTTTAGCCTTTCATCTTGCGCCGTGCCGCTTCGTCCGCCGCCGCTGTTCATCTCCGACCGTGCGGCCGGCCAGCCGCCGTTTTTTTTGTACCGCCTCCCCGCCGCGCCTACGCCCCACCTCCTTGGCCGTTGTCGCAACGCTGAGTACGAGAACGGGGAGGGGGAGTTTTCTCCCTCTGAGTCCCTCGTGTAGGGCCGTTCTGAGTCCCTCGTGTAGGGCCGTCGTTGCCGCGGCTCAAGGGCGTGTGGGGTTCGGGCTTCTCGGGCGGGTCTCGGCGGTCCGTGCGTTTCTTTGTGGCGGTTTGTGGGTTGGGTCGGTGAACCCCGGAGCGTTGGTGGTGGGGCTCGGTTTGGCGGCGGGGTGGGATGTTAGGGTTTCGTTCTTTGTTTTAGGTTTTAGTTTTCGTTCTGTTTTTTTCTTTTAGAAGTATTGGTGTGCTTTTTAGTTGTTTTATTTTTTCTGTTTGTGTGGTGTGTTGGGGTGATATGGGGCTTGCATATCGGTGTACCGATCTTCTGGTGCAGGATTTAAGCCGGGTTTTTTTGGCTATGGGGCTTCGGTTTGATCTTCTGTTGGTTTGGGCTAAAGGGTTTTGCTTCCATGCCGATATCTGTGTTTGAATTGGAGTTTGTCTTGTCTATGGTGAAGTGTACGACACCAATTTTGATTTCAGGTCGAGGAGTACGGGATTCTGAGCCTATGAAGGTTCTCGTCAGAAATTACAACATATTGCCAAACCCCCTTGCAAGAGGCTGCATAGGACAGCGTTATATGAGCCAAGGGTACTTAAGAAAGTCATTTTGCGCGTGCAATTGTAGTTTCTTCTATTTTGAACTTGTAATTGGTTCGGTTGTCTTTGTATTGTTCGATTACGATCTCTTATGTAAGTGTTGTATGGCTTATTATTAATGAATTTAATCTCCCCCCCTTCAAAAAAAAAAAAAAAACAAATCTTATTTCCAATTGTCACATTGAAAATAGAAAATAAAATAAAATGAACAGTTCTCAATTCTGTTTCAAATAATATATAATATGGAAAATAGAAAAATAGAAAATATCTTTAACAAAATCAGTGAGGATTTCCTTTCAAAAAAAAAAAAAAAAAAAAAACAGTGAGGATTTTGTTTTCAACATAATAAAATCAAATATTTTTTTTATAACATACTCCCTCCGTTTCTTAATACAAAGCATCATTTTCTTTTTGGATAAACCATCCTACAATGCATCTTTCTATTTAAAGGTTTTATTTTTTGATATTATTACCCTCTTTTAATGAGTTGTCATCTTTTTATCCATTACTTTTTTGTACTTTTAACATCAATTTCTAACACTTTCTCTCCCTACCACTTTAATTATTTCCAACTACTTTTTCTTTCTCTCTATCTCTCTCTAACCCCACATGCACTTATCTACTTTTAATCATTAGTTTTCAAGAATTTATAACTTTCTTAATTCCCGCGCAAAAACCAAAAGAGACGATGTATTAACGGACGGGGGGAGTACCAATTATCAATTTGATCAATTACATTTTTTTTTAAATCTTTAACAGTATCTTATTTTTATTTTCTCCCGTTGATCAATTATCCTATAATTAAGGGGTTTTACTCGTGAATTCAAATTCACATATTTAATCTTTAATCTTTTAATCTCCATAATATATATATATATATATATATATATATATATATATATATATATATATATATATATAACCATAGCCAATAGCCCTGCAACGTGCCCTATATTATTATTATTATTATTATTATTATTATTATTATTATTATTATTATTATTATTATTATTATTATTATTATTATTATTATTATTATTATTATTATTATTATTATTATTATTATTATTATTATTATTATTATTATTATTATTATTATTATTAAAAAGCGTTTTGCGTGAGACTGGACTCACGTGAGTCCGGGCCTTATTTAAAAAGGCGCGGGCCTTCGGGCTCCTTATTTAAAAAGGCGCGGGCCTGATCAATCCGACCAAAGCCCGCGTGCCATTTTATATAGTGTCTGAATTTTCGATTTCGTTTACATCATTTTTATAAAATTTCGTGCGCCGTCATTTTCTGAAATTTCATTTCGTCGAATTTCAACCACTTCATTTCCTCAAATTTCAGAGAATTCAAATCTTCAAATTTCATAAAAAAAATGGAGAAATCAAATAATAAAATGATGATTGAAGGAGATTCTGATTCACCTATTGAATCAATTTCTAGCTCAATTACTGCTGAAAAAGGTACAATTTAGTTTATAATTTTGATTGTATGCAATTTCGAATCATATTTAAGAATTTCAAAATTATATAGTTAATGATTTCAGATTGTATTTCAAAATTATATAGTTCTTGAATTTGAAATATGAATTTCTACTTATAATTTGCATGCAAGCCAAATTGAATTTCAGATCGTAGTAAATTTCGATTTAATATCAGATCGTATTTAAATTCGAGTTAATTTCGACTTATTATAAGCAATCAATGCCAATCGAATTTCAGATCGTAGTTAATTTTGACTTATTTGAAAATCAGGCTTAATTTATATTCCAATCGAATTTGAAATCGGGATTAATTTATATTCCAATCGAATTTGAAATCAGGATTAATTTATATTTCACAAATTGTATATATTACATGTCGCAGAAAAATAAATTTTAATTTGAATCCAGTTTTTTGATAATTTTAGAATGAAATCCAAATATACTAACACTAATGATGAATGCAGCAGATAATGTAATTTTAGGAGACAATATAAATGAAGAAAGAGATGATGAAGAAAGAGATGAAGATGCTGCAAGTATAATAGGTATATTATGTCCTGTAAATTTATTAAATGCATTGTAATTTATTGTTGCAGACAATATAATTCCTGACTAATATTATATGAATCCTGACTGAATTAATTTTATTCCTATGGAAACCTATTTCCTAAAAAAAAATTAGTGAAAATAATGTAAACCTAACTATAATTATTTTAAAACTGACTATTACTAACTTAAACCTGATTATCATTTTCTATTTCCTGTTTAATATTATTTCTTTTCTTTCCAATTCCTATAATTAATAATTATCATTATCTATTTCCTGACTAAAATAATATATTTCCTGATTAATATATTGTAATTTCTGGCCAGAAAAAAATTTCTGATTTGATAAAAAAATAAAATTTCTATATGTATGATATATCTGAATATTATTATCCTAAAACTGACTATCTTTATCAGTTTTATGAACAACATTATCTAATTCCTGACCAACATTTCTTAATTCCTGAGTATTATAAATTTAAAAACATTTAATTACTATATATATATTTGATAATAAAATGACTGACTATTATTATCTGTTTCCTGACTAATATTATCTTAAACCTGAATGAGTTAATTTTATTCCTGACTAATATATTGTAATACCTGATCTAAAATATCTAATTCCTGACTAAGATATGTTAATTCCTGAGTATTATAAACTTCAAAAAACATTTAATATTTAATAACGTCATACAAAACAAAAAATAAAATAAAATCATTAAAATTTAAAAATAAATTACATATTACTGAAATGTTATGTTTATTATTAAATGCTTTGTAATTTATTGTTGCAGACAATATAATTCCTGATTAATATTATATGAATCCTGACTGAATTAATTTTATTCCTATGGAAATCTATTTCCTAAAAAAAATTAGTGAAAATAATGTAAACCTAACTATAATTATTTTAAAACTGACTATTACTAACTTAAACCTGATTATCATTTTCTATTTCCTGTTTAATATTATTTCTTTTCTTTCCAATTCCTATAATTAATAATTATCATTATCTATTTCTTGACTAAAATAATATATTTCCTGATTAATATATTGTAATTTCTGACAAGAAAAAAATTTCTGATTTGATAAAAGAAATAAAATTTCTATATGCTATGATATATCTGAATATTATTATACTAAAACTGACTATCTTTATCAGCTTTCTGAACAACATTATCTAATTCCTGACTAACATTTCTTAATTCCTGAGTATTATAAATTTAAAAACATTTAATTACTATATATATATTTGATAATAAAATTACTGACTATTATTATCTGTTTCCTGACTAATATTATCTTAAACCTGAAAGAGTTAATTTTATTCCTGACTAATATATTGTAATACCTGATCTAAAATATCTAATTCCTGACTAAGATATGTTAATTCCCGAGTATTATAAACTTCAAAAAACATATAATAATTTAATAACGTCATACAAAACAAAAAATAAAATAAAATCATTAAAATTTAAAAATAAATTACATATTACAGAAATGTTATGTTTATTAATTCAAATATAATAAACTACAAAACATTGAACATAAACTACTAATAACATCATCTATTTTTATTCTTTTTTCCTCTCTTCCTGGTTGGATTGCCTCTTCTCTTTTTCTTTTTTTCTTGTTGGCTTCTTCTTCCTCAAAAATTAAACGTAATCCATCAAGAAATTCAGCCCAGTCTTGCACCATTCCATTGTGAAAACCATAACCATTATGCCTCATAATGTCATATGCAACCCACCATTCATTTAAATTTTGATTTCTTCTTACTATTTCTGGAATCCAAAATTTGTAATACCATAATTCATTATAATATTTACATGTACAATTAATCATTGTCTGCGCTTTGAAGGTGCACCTAGGAAAAATATGCATGCATAATATCTCTTCAACATCTAATGCTGGATATGCATCTTCTAAGGCATCAACTGGGTGTGGAATATGATTAGCCATCTAACCAAAAAAAAAAAAACACATAAATCATAACAAAATAAAATAAAATAAACTAACAAATGTAAGATCATAGAATGAAAAAAATTATACCTTTTGTAATAGCAGTAGTTCGCAGTAGTTATATTCTTATAAAAATGATTAAAATTCAAACTGAAGCAATTTATATTTTTATATGATTTTTTTTCCCTTAATATAGTTTCTTGTACACTGTGGTATCTTATATATAGTGTTTAGAACGTGAATTAGTGCAGAGTTTAGGAAGAGGGAAGGTCATGCCTTTTCAAATATGTGTTTTTCATTTATAATTAACCTCGGTTCTAGTAAATACATTTAATTTTATTCAATTAATTTTATGTCTTTTAAATGATTTTACGTGTTTTTTGAGTGTTTTGAGTGTTGATGTTTTAGAAGAGGGAAGGTCATGACTTTTCAAATTCTAATTCTTGTGTGCAATAATTTTATTTTTTAATTTCTGAATATAATTTCTTAAACCTGACTATATCATTTATGTCCTGAGTATTTTATTATCTATTTTCCTGACTTAGACAATTTTATTCCTGACTATTATAATCTAATTTCTAATTCAAACAATTTTTTGACTATTTTTTGAGTAATATTTTGACTATTTTTTTGTCACTGAAATTATATGAATAAAATTATTCAATTTAATTCCTGATTGAAACAATTTTATTACTGAAATATACAATATAATATCTGATATACTTAAATTAATTCCTAATCAAAACATTTTTATACCTGACATAAAGAATTTAATTCCTGACAAAACAAATCTAATAAATGACAAAAATAATCTAATTCCTGAAGATAATGAACATAGAACAACATATAATCAGATACAAATATTATTATTTCTGAATGATATAACTTTATTACTGACCAATATTACCTGTTTCCTGATTAATATAATCCTAAACAAGACTGAGATGATTTATTTCCTAACTAGTATTTAGTAATTCCTGATTTAAATAATCTATTTTCTGATCAAGACATGGTAATTCATAAGTAATATAAATTTTATTCCTGACTACTATAATCTAATTTCTAATACAAACAATTTTTTGTCTATTTTTTGAGTAATATTTTGACTATTTTTTGTCACTAAAATTAAATTAATAAAATTGTTCAATTTAATTTCTGATTCAAACAATTTTATTACTGAAATATACAATTTAATATCTGATATACTCAAATTAATTCCTAATCAAAACATTTTTATACCTGACATACAGAATTTAATTCCTGACAAAACAAATCTAATAAATGACAAAATTAATCTAATTCCTGAAGATAATTACAAATATGATGATAAATGACAACTTGTATACTTTTGTTGCAGATTATTACAAATATGACAAGGATGAAAACATAAGTAAATGTCTAGCAAGTTATACAGTATCAAACTACAATGAGGGATATGTGTTATACAAAGCTCATTCAAGATCTGTTGGTTTCAGTGTCAGAAAATCAACAAAGAGAAGAGATTCCAATGATAAAATGTATGAGTTTTATTTAATATGTTCTAAGGAACGATATACAAAGGGTAAAATGAAGATAGCAACTGAACAAAATACTGTGGAAATACCCTTATTGGGTAAAACTGATGCAAAAAAGAGAAAAGATAGGGAGGTAAATGAGACAAGAACTGGATATAAAGCCCATATTCGTTTCAAGAAAAACAAAGAAGGAAATTTCGAAGTTGTTACACATGAGTTGGAGCATAATCATGAATTGGTTATAGCAGTTCAACGACATCATCTAAGATCAGAAAGGCAAATATTAGCGCCAATGGGTGAACTAATTGAGAGCATGATTGAGAGTGGTATTAAACCAATGGATGCTTATAATTATATAAGCAATGAAGCTGGAGGAGAAGAATGTGTAGGTCATACTAAGAGAGATCACCTTAATTATGTATCAAGGGTGAAAATGAGTATGGTTGAAGGTGGAGACATGCAGAATGTGTTAGACACTCTTCAAGAAAGAGCAGATCAAGATCCCTCATTCTTTTATAGATTGAAATTTGGAGAAGAAAATAATGTTGTGAGATATTTTTGGCGTGACTCCCAAATGCTTGAAGATTTCAAAGCTTTTGGTGATGTTTTAATCTTCGATACAACATACAGAACAAACAAATATGGGTTGATATGTGCTCCATTTGTTGGTATAAACAAGGGATTTGTTAAACATCGCCCGCAAATCTCCACATAAAGCCCACAAATTAGACATGGTTTGACAATTTTGCCCATTTCTAAAATCGTACCCAAAGTGAACAAATCTCGATCTAACAAATGTGGAGTCGTACTGGGTTGCCCAGGGAGGCCGGAGAGGCGAGGGTCGCCGGAGATACGTCGTCTTCGACGGAAAACGAGGTGGCGCCTAGTTTGGACGCCGGAACCATGGCAAGGACGTCCAGGCAAGGCGCCACAACCAGTGCACTGGCGTCCAGGCCAGACGCCACAACCAGTGCACTGGCGTCTAGCCCAGGCGCCTCAACCAGTGCACTGGCGTCCAGGCCAGGCGCCACCACCAGTGCACTGGCGTCTGGTTTGGACGCCGCCCTTAATTTTTAATTTTTTTTTTTTTGCCTTTTTTTTTATTTTTTTTTTTTTTAAATTATGTTTATTAAATTTATGTTTTTATTTAGGATGTGGACATTTATGTTTTTATTTGATTTTATAAAAAATATATATACTAGACTTATAAAAAATAACACATAAAATTAATAATTATTATAAAAAAAATCAAACACATTAAAAAAAAAATTAGAAAAATTTTCTTATTTTCCAAAAAAAAAAAAGTTAAAAAAAAAAAATTTAAGGCAGCTGGGGCGCCTGGCCAGGACGGCCCGTGGCTGGTGGTGGCGCCAGGTCCGGCAGCCACGTCCACCGGCCTGGCGTCTGGGCAGGACACCCAGCCACAGTGACTGGCGCCTGTCCCAAACGCCACTCACCGTGGCTGGGCGTCCTGCCCAGACGCCAGGCCGGTGGACGTGGCTGCCGGACCTGGCGCCACCACCACCTTGCCCCCACGAGCCACCACTACCTTGCCGCCACAAGCCAACCACCTTGCCGCCACGAGCCTCGACATCCCCGTACTTTGATTTTTATTGACGTTGTGTTTTTTTTTTTTAAGGTCAAGGGCAATATTGTAACTTCAATATAAGTTTGTGGGCTTTATGTGGAGATTTGCGGGCGATGTTTAGCATTCCACATAAAGAATCATTGGAAAACAACAATGTTTGGATGTGCATTCATAACCGATGAAAAGACCGATACATTTGTTTGGCTGCTTTCAATCTTCAAAAAGTCAATGTGTGGAATTGAACCAAAAACAATCTTCACTGATCAAGATCTTGCAATGAGCAACGCCATACCAGAGGTAAGCAGTTTCTATATTTTATATTAGGATATGTTTAGTATCAAATAAAATAATCTGACTTTAACTCTTTAATACCTGACATAAATAAGTCAATTACTGCCATGATTTATATAATATCTGACTGTAAAATGAAATTATTTGATTTCTGTCTAAGTAATGACTATAACTTTACTAATATCAAATAAATATCATGTAATATCTGATGAAAATAATATTAAAACTGATGAAGAAAATAAATTTTATAATTGATATTATATATTTAATATGTAATTAAAACACTTTAATTACTGACTAACAAATTGTTATGCCTGACAAAAATTGATTAATAACTGATATGATATATAAAATAATTGACTTTGACTCTTTAATACCTAAAAATATATTAATTACTGCAATTACTTATTTAATATCTGACTATAAGAAGAAAGTATTTGAATATCATGTTATTCCTTATGAATTTCATGTAATTTCTGATCAAAATAATCTAAAAACTGTCTAAAATATTATAATTCCTGACAAAATGAGATTAATAACTGACAAATTAAATAACACTAATTTAATTCTGAAAATATTTAATTCCTGTCCAAAATAAAGAAATATTTGTCTATAATCATTTTATATCTGACTTTAACATAATAATAGCTGAATAAAATTTTATCACTCTTTAGAAAAACACAACAAAATTATTTTCTGAGAGATATAATTTATTTCCTGCACTTAATAATATAATACCTGAGTAAAAATATAATAATCGTGAAAGAAATAATAATATTTCTGATTTTTAATACAATGGAATAACTTAAATCACGTTAATTCCTATTATATGAAACTATTAATCTATTATCTGACTATAATACTTTAAATGCTGACTAGTATAATATTATGCATGACAAAAATACAAGAATAACTAACGTTAAATATATAATATCTGACTGTTACTCATTAATTCCTGACTAAAATATTATTATGACTAACATAAATCAACCAATCCAAAAATGTAACAACTGACTAATAAAACTTAATTCCTGTCTAAGTTAAGCTTATTTCTGAGTTAAAAATATTACTATGCATCAAAATAATTTCTGAGTTAAAAATTTCATGTAATTTCTGATCAAAATAATCTAAAAACTGACTAAAATATTATTATTCCTGACAAAAAGAGATTACTTTAAATGCTGACTAATATTATAATGCATAAGAAAAAGATAATCCAAAAATGTAACAACTAACTAATAAAAACTAATTCATGTCTAAGTTAAGCTTATTTATGAGTTAAAAATATTACTATGCATCAACGTTATTTCTGAGTTAAAAATTTCATGTAATTTCTGATCAAAATAATTTAAAAACTGACTAAAATATTATTAATTCTGACAAAAAGAGATTAATAACTGATAAATCAAATAACACTAATTTAATTCTGAAAATATTTAATTCCTGTCTAAAATATAGAAATATCTGTGTATAATCATTTTATATCTGACTTTAATATAATAATAGCTGAATAACATTATGTACATAAAAGAAAATTAACAAAAACAAAAGCATAAGTCCAAATTAGTATATATTTCTTCATAATATTTTGTCATACTTATGACAATGCCTTACAAAAGCAAATGAACACTGTCACTTTAACTATATATGATCATAACAGTTCTATACAAAACATTGTTTTTTAATTAAAGAAAAACATATTTACAGGGCATTTAAGCTAGTCTACTCTTCTTCTGCGGCCCTCCAGGTTGAATAGCTTCCTCTCTCTTTCTTTTCTTACTCCACATATCTTCCTCATCCCTAAATAGCCATCGCAACCCATCCAGAAATTCAGCCCAATCTCGAACCATTGAATTATGAAAGCTGATTAGGGGATTTTTATCCTCCAATCACCGTTTGACAAGTGGACCAACCAGGTTCCGCCACGTGTCCTTCACGTAGGCCAATAGGAGCCTGCCACGTGTCAATCACAGATACGTCCTCTACGGACCAATTGAGACACGCCACGTGTCCACCCATGCCAAATGGGAAAACCGGCCAACAAGGCCCAATCCTGTCTAGAGGCCCGGTCAGCCCTAGGTTAACCCTAAACCTAGAGAGTGGCATGCTTCTCAAGACTATAAATACTTAATTAATCCTCATTAAAGGGGATCAAGCAATTAATCTCACCTGAAGAACGGAACAGAACAGAAACGTTACGGAAGACACTAATAACCGGCTAATCTCACTAACAACGCAGATTACCAACATTAAACACTCTCACCTAGAGAGATCTTATTACTTTAATTTCCGTATTAATTACTCCTTAATCAGGTACTAACTTGACCGTTGGAGGCGGAGCTCTCAGGAGTCTCCGTTATTTTGCAGGTACAGGCGTCCGGTTCCAGTCTCGGAATTGTAACTCTCCCGCAGGACATCAGAAAACCCCGAAACATTTGGCGCCGTCTGTGGGGAGAGTACTTCAGAGATGGCATCCAAGTCTGTACCGACTCCTGAAGAGAGGCGTCCCCTAAACGACCCTCAAGTTCAGTCGGACCATGACACCGAAAGTGAATTTGAAGTTGAAACTCATACAGCTCCAGACGGGACCCTAAGGGCCCGACGTACCCGTCATACCGAAAGGAGGGAACGGGAGCATCTTCAAACAGGAAGCGAGCCAGCAGGCGCACCGCCTGCTCGGCAACAGCCGACTGATGGGTCTGCTTCCATCACAAGGAACGAACTCATGACCTTCATGAGGGACTTCAAGGGAGAGATTCAAGAGTTGATCAACAAGAAGCCGCCTGCTTCAGTCAAGGAGCAGTCGGCCAAGAAACCTTCCACTTCACTAAAGAGGAAGCCAGTTCAAGGGCGAGAGGCGACTCCTCATCCTAAATCTAGGAAGCGGGAGCCACCTGCCCTTGATTTCACAAAATTCCGTTATCCTACAGGAAATAGGAAACCGGTTCGTCATATTCAGGCGGACGGGTCAAATCAAACGTTCACAGATGCTCGGCTACTGCTAGAGCAGAAGAAGAGTGACCGATTGTCAGAGTCGGCTTCTACTTCAGACTTTCAAGACAGTTTGCGAAATGCCTCGATGAGGCATACTCAGTCGTACCATGAGAGTCAGTCAGGCGGCACCTCCCGTCAGTCCGGCTTTCATAGTGCCCAGGCGGTACCAAACTTACCATTTGTGCCGCAACAACAGTATTTTATGCAGCCACCTCCATTTGGTGGACCTGCAGCAAAAAACGTCCAACCTATGGACTGGCAGCTACGGTTGCTTAGACTTGGTGAACAGCCGTCGGCCTTCTCCAAGGAAATTACTGAAGCCGCTCAGCCGGCCAAAGTAAAAAATGTACTAGTAGGCGCCTATGACGGCACTACTAACCCAGAAGACCATCTGATGGCATTCACCAACCTGATGTACCTTCAAGGGTTGGATGATCCCACTTGGTGCAAGTGTTTCCCAGCGACTCTCAAGGGAATCGCACAGCAATGGTTTGGCAACCTGCCGACTGGTTGTGTAAACAGCTTCAGGACGCTTGCTTACTTATTTGCCTCCAATTTCGCCATGAACATCCCTGCGAAGAAAACGACCCTTGATTTGGGAACAATTCAGCAGGGCGAGAAGGAGGGGCTTCGTTCTTACATCAGGCGGTTCAACCTGATGAGAATACAGATTCAAGGGTTACCGGATGAGGTAGCTTATACTGACTTTTTTAGAGGTCTCAAAGACGGGTCTACCTTCAAATTTGATTTGGTTCGAAAAAGGGTGGCGACTCTTCAAGAGGCCTTGATTGAAGC